TTATATTTTAAATTTTTATATTTTAGCAATTCCAAAGAGTTAAAAAATTTACAATCAATAGATTCAATTCAAGAATCATCATTTGTTGACTTATTGGATGAGACATTGCTATTGTCACAATCTTCAAGATGACATAATTAAAATGAAAATCCTTAAGAATAATATATTTTTTTTCAAATAGATGGCAAAATACAATATATTTGATATTACAATCTTAAAAGAAACTCTCAATATTTGGTGATTTTATTAGAAGTAGGAACAATTCCAAATGGTATAACTAGTGTTTTATTTGAAAGAAGTTATGAAGGCTTCAATAATGATTAAATAACATAATAGTCTTGTTGTCCTTGAATAAGACATTATTGATGGCTAAAAAGATCTATCAACTACTTTTGAAGGAAACATCAATTTAAATATACAAGTATAATTTGTTGCATCTTAGACTTCAACAACATGTGATTATTATCCCTTGTGGCAGTCATCCTTAGAAAGAGAGGTAATATCATGGATATTTTTATTCTAATAATTATTTAAATAATATATATAAGTAGAAGTAAGTAAAAATAGATTAATTTAATAATATCTTGTAGTAAAGCTTTCTAGAAGCTTAATGGATGCATTTTCACCTTTATACATATCTATAAGTGATTATTAGGTTAGAACTTGGCTAACAAGTTAGCCACATATTGCACGTATTTTTAGTTTGTGGAACAAGCTAACTACATGGTGTGCATATAGAAGACTTGTCTTATAAGTTAAACATGTATCTTGCAAATTGGACATGTGTTGAAGGTCCTATAGAATGTTGATATATATCTTTTAAGTAGATAGTATATATAGAAATAAGAATAAAGTCTTTTTTACTCTTGTCAATTCTTTTTTTACTTACAATTTAATTTCAAAAATTTCTAGCTTCTTAGTCTATGACAATAGCCATTCCAATTTCTTATTAAATATATTTACTTTCTTATTTCTATTTTATCATCTCTCTTTGATTCATTTTTCACTTATTTACATATCTTCTTTGAATTATTATTTTTGGCACTGGATCAAGAAACATATGAAAGCTATCTTATTTTGGTCTTCAACTATTTTAATCTTTATTGAGGATATAATCACCTTGGAGTTTTATTTTTTATTTTTTATTTTTTTATTTATTTTTTATAAGTTATTAATTTTTTATTGAAAATAATGAATAATTGTCTCACAATGTTTTAGCTTACATCCATATATTGGATGTATTCATACCAAGGTTTAAATGAATAATTGGTTAGTATAAACACATAAAAATCTAATTGATGGATTTATAGGGATATATATATATATATATATATATGATGTTACTAATGCCACAAAAAAAAATTGTTGTTATAATTAAAAAAAAAAATTGTTAACATCACAATCTATTATTTATAATATGTCATCTATATCTTTTGATAATTTTAAATAAAAAATTATTTATTTATTTAATTTTATTTATTTAATTTTATTTATTTAAAAATATATATATTTTTGAAATAAAAATTTTTTTAAAATTTTTTTTAATATAAATTCTTTTTTTAATATATTCAAAAAAATTATCTAATTTTTTATTAAATTAAAATACATAAATAAATAAATAAATAATTTTAAATAGATAACAAGTATGATAATAATAATATAAACTTTGGTGAATTATGATAGATGGCTTATTGTAGTAGCAATTGTAAAAGAATGTGTTAGAATATAATAGATGGTAAATTTTTATGGAAATAATAAAATATATAGTTGCATTAGTAGTACCATATATATATATATAGGAGAATATTAAAGCAATCCTAATTTTTACTAAGTCAATCCACATAATTGCATTTCTTCAATCTTCATCTCCCTTCTCTTTGTTTCCAACCGTGGCTGCTATTCTGTCCATTTTCAACCCGCCCACCTAGCCTTATCTTTGTTTCAACATCATTGTGTAGAATTCATAGACTAGTCTTGTATACATTCAACTCAAAGTTCAAGGCGGCTCAGCAAAGCTTCAAAATTTGGATCATGCAATTGAATTATAATATGTTGAACATGAAGAACATTCATTTCATCTATTCTTTAAATGATCATCCAAAAGTGAATGTAAAGAATGATAATTGTGCTACTAGCTGAGATGGTGCTTCTTCAATGTCCATTGTTTTAAATTCTAAGAAACTCAATTTATAGTACCTATCAACTCAAGAAAAATGCATTTCAATTTATTTTTTTGACTGAAGATATCTTAAGGCAAAGAAAAATAAATTTCATAATAAAATATCCATTGAAGAATCATAAATATCTACTTCTGAATTTTTAAGTAATTCTTTTGTAGCACAAAATAAGAAAATCAAATTCTAAATTCTTGATCAGCAATGTAAGAGTATAATTACAACAAGGAAGTGAATCAATAAGACAACTTTAAAAATTGGTTTCTTTTTTTCTTTTTCTCACACAATGGTGGCTCCTAAGGATCAGCTTAGTCACAAATCCAACAAGAAACATATCTAAATTATACTTAGATGCTTCTTTACTACAACACTGCTACACCAATCGCATGCCTATTGAATTGACTAAAAAAATTGATTCTTAAAGAAACCCACATTAATAATGCTAGGATAGCGCATGTCTATAATACAACAAAAAAATTTGTAGCAAATTTGAAAAGAAATCATCAAGAGGCTTGTCATAAACTCATTGAGGTCATTCAAATGTCATGACAAGTAACAACAACAATAAATAAATTTTGGAGATTGACAGAAGCATCCTACTTTACAATATCTAAATTAATGCAATAAATAAAAATAAAAATAAAAAATAGATTATATTGTTTTGAGATTGTTGAGTAGTTCTATTTGCTATAGATGAATCTATTATGCTCTATACTATAGTGTGCCTGGGCTCAAAGAAATTGGAAATTCAAACCTTTGGCAGTCAATGGTTGCATGAACTTTACAATAACCATTTGTATAACTTTATGTTGGCAAGGTTTTACAAAGTTTATCTTAGAATACTAGGAGTTGGCAAGTATTTTTTTCAAGCAAGAAGAAAGGCATCTTCTATGTAAAATTTACATAAAGAAGGTATCGTAGCATGTTTTGGTTGTAGGATCAATACAACAAAGTCATTGAGTGTCTCCTTTCTTTTAATCGAGAATCAAGCATAGTTATTAATTACTTTTGCAATGCCATTACTTCTATAGATTATTGTACCAATTCATCAAAATGTCATAACTATTGGTATTTATATATAAAATAGAAAAACTTTGAAAGGATAACAATATGCTTCTTAAGGTAAAGAAAGTTGACTACTATAAACAAATCATAGAAAAGAGTCTATTGCAGAAGCAACAGTTGTTGTTAAGATAAATTCCATGGTATAGGATATAAGTGACAAGAGAGATAGGAAGGGTGGATTGTAAAGAATACTCATTTTATTTCAAAGCAAAGTAAGGAACATTATAACTCGTAAGTAAGTATTTGCATTCTTTTGTCTCAATTTTTTTCATATATTTATTTAATATGTTATTCTTTTATTTTTTTTATGAACATTCATTATAATTGGCATGCTTTCATTTGATTGCAAGACTCAAACTCTGAAGCTTTGCTAAGCCGCCTTGAACTTTAAGTTGAGTAAGTACAAGATCAGTCTATAAATTCTATGAAGTGACATTGTTGAAACAAAGATAAGGAGTTGGAAGTTGGATCTACGAATAGAGGCTGGGAGTTGAGAATGGAAGGAATGGCGGCAAGAACTGGGAGCAAAGAAAGAATGGTGACAATTGGGAATGTGGAGAATAAGGATGGAAGTTAAAGAGGTGCAATGACGTAGATTAATTTAATAAAAGTTTTGGATTGCTTTAACATTCATATATATATATATATATATATATAAAAGTAAAGATAAGTACAATTAAGCATATATATAAAATATTTCTTTAGAAAAATGTATATAAAATATTATATATATATATATAAAAATTGCCACCAACAATAAGGTTATGAATCTCTATTAAATTAAATTAACACATTTTAAATATTTATATATATTTCTTGAATTTGACCATCCAAATGATGTATAGTAGTAAAACTGTTGTATTTATTTATGAGAATTTAAGAAAAAAAAATCATTGTATTTTATCAACAACTACATAGTATTATTAAAATTTCAAAATTGTAACTTCTTTGCTAAACATGCTATTCAAAAATATGTGTTGATTTGTGAAGATTAAGATTATGGATTCAACCATTTAATAACTCAATATATGACTTGAAAAGCAACTAGATGATTGTGATGGCTAGCCAACCAAATGCCATTTTTGTGTGCCAAATCATGTAAACAACATCAATACCATTAAGTCACAAATAATAAAATTGTTCATTAATTAATTAATAGAGCACTAATAAGTGTCACAATAATTACTAGCTGCAGAAAGTAAAACATTTCTATAAATAGTTTCAAATATAGCTGAAGAGATTACTCCATTTTCAGTCCTTCTTATAGACTAAAACCTTCAGCTACAATGCTGATTAGGCAAAATCACTCCCATAATTGCCATCACGTATTTCTAACTAAGACTCAATAGCATGATTAACACTCAACCTCACACACAAGCAAAATTCATAAATAAGATCTCAACAAAAACAACATTCCTTGGTAAATCATCACCGATATTGCAATCCATGACAAAACCACCTCTTAAATAAACTATAAAATAAAAATAAAAATAAAAATTGCAAGCTTTTCAGAAGCACAATTCTCCGAAATAAATGTGCATTGGCCAAACACTCCACAAAGCATAGCTATTTTTCAATTGGGAAGATGCACCAGGGGGATTGAGTGACGGACGGATGAATTAGAATGGATGATACATAGATGAATGAAGAAGTTGGGGATGAATCGAGCTTGAATCGCGATGGTCCAACACGGAGGGCCAGGATGACACCCCCGTCCCTGGGCTAGAAGGTGGATCGCAAGAAGGAAGAAGGCCGAGGAGGAATGCTCCATGTTCACGCAATTCAAGTAGACATACTCATAGACATAAACATTCACACACACACTAAGAGCGACGGCGAAGAAGAAGAAGGAGAAGAAGGAGAAGAAGAACGAGGCCGAGTGAGAGAGAGAGAGAGGCCGCCATCGCCAGAGCGGGGGGTTGGTTGATCAGAGCAGCACTGGAACTGGAGCCCCAAGCGAGTACGATGATGGCCAGCTCCGACGCTGTGGAGGCCGCCGCGTATGCTGCCAAGTACCGGAAGTATGAGCGGGACTACTTGCGACGCATTAACCATCTCTACTTCTCCAACAACACCCCTGACAATGGTATACCTGCTCCTTCAAACCCCCGCTCCCTTTGCTTTCGGAATTCGTCGGTGTTTTTGCTCTGCCCGATCGGTTCTTTGCCCGCGGGAAAGATTTTGCTGCCTATTTATCGGTTGTTGTTTTGTGTATTTCTTGAGGAATGTGTGATTCGTGTTCCTACTGGGTGAGGTTTTGGAGGTGGAGATATGAGATTTGTGCCTAGAGTTGATGTTGGATTGGTGGCGGTGATTGTTGGCGGTATTTTGGTGCACCGGGTCTTGTAATTTTTTTGTTTTTCTTTCGGGATGTGAGAGTGGGAGAGTAGTGAGGAAATGGATTGTGATGGCGGAATCCGGATGGATTTTATCATGTGGGATATTGTTTTGTTGATTTTTTTTTTTTTTTTTTTTTTTTTTTTTTATTATTATTATTATTATCAGCCAAGATTCGACACCGTACCCTAAGGAGCAGAATTTCTTAGCGGTGGTTTCATGCCAATCCTATGTGTACTAAAAAGCTTTCTTCTTTGCTTTTACAATAACATAGGCAGAAATTATTGCTCTTCACACTTCTAAACCCTAATTGGTCACTTCTACTATAAGGTGTTACCTCTCGTAAGGAAGTATTATAATTGACTAGAGGAACTTGCTAAAAAAAACTTTACTGCTTCAGATGCTGTAGGAGAACAATTAACTTCGGAAGACCTTCTCAATACTAGCTATGTATGCTCTCTCAGCTGAAAGTAACTAGTTGGCTTCTTATGGTGAATGTCAACCTAGTTTATGTTGGTGTTCGTCGATGATTTGGTAATTCATTCTATATAATTGTTCAGAATCGTTCTCTTCCGGCGTTATTGATTTTACAGTTTTTTCAGGTGTTATTAGATATGTGCTGATAATAGAATGAATTTTGTAGGTGAAATATTTGAGAGCGTTGCTACCATTGACGAATTTGTTATCAAGGAGAGCAAGTAAGAAACTTTTTGCTACAATTTATATCATTTTAACTATTGTGATTAGAGAAACCACGAGATTTTCATTTACAAAGTTTATGAATAGGGGTTGGCTGAGTAGAAGATTGTAACATGATGATCGGTACTGATTATTCTGAGAAGTATGAATAGTGTTCTTTGCATGGCATGTTTTTCTTGCTAAAGTGTACTCGACCATGTATGTGTATCTGATATCCGAAGTTGGTTATGTCAGGGAAGCACCACTTAGGAAATTCCTCTCATCTTCAGGCCTTGTAAACAAGGAATCTTCAGTCCCAAAGGTCGAACCTATGGATATCGACGTAAATGCTCCATCAACCTCGAATAAAAAATCTCAGCGATCCACTCCAGATGGTAGTCGGAAACCATCTAGGGGTAAATGACAGCAGTTATTCGTAGAGCCTTCGCTTCACATGGTCGGTTTCACTGTGTATACAGGTCCTTTACGATTTCAGAGGCCGGTCGAAATGTCCGTTCAGTGAATAGATTAGATTTCTCTTTTTCCTGCTTATGTACGTTTATGTTCATTTTTCTGGTTTCAACACTGATTATGTACACATGTCAAGATACTGAAGCTTGGATCATTCACTTTTAGTTTCTGTGTATCAAAATTCTTGTATTGCTGTTAAATCTATGTGTTTGTTTAGACTGATATCGAACTGAGTCTTGGGTTTTGCGAAATTTTATGCGTGTATTCCTAGTAGAATTCTTACGGTCAAATGGAGAATTTCCATGTTTGAAGCTGTCTGTTGCAGCTCTCATTTACCGCACCGGTCGTTCTCATCTCTCATCTTGATGATCTTTACTCAGCCATGTGTTTGTTTGTTTGTTTGAGCACTCAACATTGTACTTCATTTGAATGTTGCAATCACTCTCGCACATTTGAGCATGCGGTGACGACTTGGGTTTAGGTTTAGCAACAAAGACAGGGAGCATGCCAGTTATTTGTGATCCTAGCATTCTACATTAAATGCGTGATCAAGTAAATTTGGGCTTCATTGTTGTTTATTCCTAATTTCACAGCTTGTATTTCAGTGTGTTTGCAGGTGTGAACCTCGCTACCACGCCACCAGTAATCGCATCATGCCTTCAGGTGATCTCATTATTTCACTGCTTGCATCGCATGCTTGCCTTCAAAACGAAGCTAATCCAGAAGGGTGTTGGATTTTATGTACACCCTGGCTTGTTGATATCTTTTACTCGAATGTGGTTATCCAGTCTCTAGACTAATCTTCCCAACTTTTTGTATTAAACAGCAATCGGTTACAATTATAGAATATATTCAACAACAATTATTTTATTTTGTTTTATGCAAACCATGGCCAACATATTTAATTGACTTTCTTTTAAGTTACAATTACTAAGAGTTTTTAAAGAAAATATAAATTACTGGTCTTCCTAATTTCCAAAAGGGATTGACATTTCAACAAGAAAAAGTATATTATTGGGGTAAAAGCTATGTATGTTATTAACTTAAATTAGGATCAAAGTTTTAGTTCAAGATTATGTTTGGTTTCAATTGTACAACAATCAAATTTCCAATTAACATTTCAAGAATATGTTTTAAGTATTATAATTACTGAAAATATAATAGAAGTAATAAATAAATCAAAATGATATTATCTAATTTTAATAATGCAATCAAAAAATTAATTGATGTTTTCAACAGTATCCTTAAAGAGCTAAAGTTGGCTTAGTGCTAATCATTATGTTATAAAGATTTTAATATAGTTTTCTTTATACAATTACATTATTCTAATCTTCAATTTAAAAATAATCAATATGATAAAATCAGAATATCCAGTATAAAAATAGTAAAAAGTTTCAATAAATATTGAGGGAGAATTTTGAATATGTAGTAACACCTTTTATAAAAACCAGTGTTTCTTATAAGAAAACCAATTGTCATAATAATCATAATAAATTGTACACAAAATATTCTTTAGATCAAGCCTCTTCTTTTTTTCTAATATAGAAAGAATCAATTTCTTAATTTCTTTTGTAATAAATTAATTTTAGAATAGAAAAATTTTTATTTTTTATTTTTTATTTATATAACAGTAATGATCAAAGCAACATTTTTATTTGTAAGGTGAAGACCTTAGGGTGAAAAAAATATTAAAGAAGAACCTTTTGATTACTTTTCAGACATTTTCAAATTTTAAATTTTAAGAGAATATATCTCCGTTAAATTGATTAAAGATTACAAAGATTATTTTAAAGCTTTTTTTAAAAAAATTAAAAGTATTTTTTATTTTAAAGTTATTATTATTATTATTCTTCTTTTTGTAGGATTATCATAATAATTAATAATAACTGTAGTAATTTTTTTTGAAATATTTATTCTGATAAAAATCATTGTATTATAATGATGATGATATTTATGATATCTATATGAAATTTCCCAGATTCAAATTTTTCTAATTCTAAAATTGTTAAAGTTTTGTGTACAGATTTATAGAAATATGATTATTGTTACTTAATGGCAATATTTAAGATATTTCCTTACCTTTGAAGTGGTTCTTTGTAGTGCCTGTATTGTTATTAATTATTCTTGTGTCAATATTTTAAAATAAAATTAAAATTTTAAACAAAATAAAATTTAAAAAATAAACAAAAGTCTTAGTAAATTTTAATAAAAATATTCTAAAAGCACCATAATATTAATTGAATATAAAATTCTAGTAGCTTATTAAAATTAATAATTAAATATTATGCTATAACTCTTTATGCAATGGATAAAAATTGTCATATCAAATCTATTATTATAATTGATAAAATTTTCCAAAAAGAACTACAAAGAGACATCTAAGACTTCAAAAATACTTGTTTTAATTTTTATTCTAATTTGTAAAAATAAATAAATAAATAAATAAATAAATAAAATGAAAAAAAATTCTATAGAATCTAAAAAAAGCCACAAGCCTCCTTTTCAATAACATTCTTTGTAAGATTATACAAAATATGAATATTAATATATTCAAACTATTAAATTTAAAAGAAATCAAGGATGTTATTGGAAATATGGCTAAAGGCAAAAATCTTGATCTAAAAAAAGTAAGCATCAAATTCTTCAAGATCTTTTGGCAAATCTTTGAGGAAGTTTGTATTTTAATCAATAACCAAGTTTTAGTTGATGGTTAGTTCTTACATACCATTAGACAAAGCCATATTGTTCTCTTACATAAAGGTGATAATAAAACTTTGTTAGGCAATTATAAGCCAATCACCATACAAAACAACTCCTATAAAATATATACTAAAGTCATCCAACAACATTTTCAATCAACTTTTATGGATGTAATTCATCTTAACCAAAACACATTCTTCTTTCTAAGATTTATCATAGACAATTTATTAGTCACCTAAGAGATTATAAATTGAACTAAAACTCAAAAATGATACCTACTTCTTCTAAAAATTGACTTTTGTAAAGCTTGTGACAAAGTCTTGTAGAAATTTATGTTTAAAGCCTTAGAAAAATTTTATTTTAATGTTTTCTTTTGTCATATGATTAAAAATTAGTCTTTAAGAAGTAAATACTATAATTGGTATTAATGCAATAATATTAGAAATATCTATAATTAATAGTATATTTACTTGGATAAGTAGGAATAATTTAAAGTAAATAAATATAGATTAAATTGTCATTATTTTCTTATAAAGCTTATTAGAAGCTTCATAGATATAGATTTTATTTTATATGTGTTTATAAGTGATTGATGGGTAGAAAACTTAGCCAACAAGTTGGCCATATGGCAGACATATCAAAAATTTACTTTACAAGTTAGACACATGTCTTACATATTTGATACATGTCATATTGTCTATATGACATTGTTATATAGCTTCTTATTTAGATAGTATAAATGGAAGTAAGATTCAAGAATTTCTATTTCTTGCATATGCCTTTCTTGTTTATAGTCTAATTTCAAGAGTCTCTAAACTTTTTGTCTTTGGAAATAGCCATTATAATTTCTTATCAGTTATACATTTTTTTTTTTTTTTTTTGCCTTATCTTTTGATTTATATCCTTCAAGTTTTTTATCTATGATATATTGAAAAAAATATCTTTATAATATAATAATAAATTATAATATAGAATATAATATAATAATAAAATCTTTAAATTTCTTTATTAATAATTGATTATTATTTTTATTTCATAAGATATTAGAATTTAGAAATTATGGATTATCCAATTCTAAACTAATATTATTTTTTTAAAAAAAAATCTTATTTTTGATCCTTATTTATTCACTTCCATAAGTGATATAGGATATAAACTTTTATATTACATAAATATAACTAAGTCTGTATAAATAAAGGAAATAATAGTACAAATACAAGAAAAAATTAGAGAGTTGTTACTTGCAATGCATCATCTCACTTTATCACTATAAGCATCATTAAGATTAATTATAAGTAACAATATAGATATGCTTAGAAATACTTCAAAACCTACACATGTACTCGTAACTTTTTTTATGATACAATATCCTACAAGCATCACTACCACTATCAAAGAAAATAAAAAATTGATTTATATTAGAAGATTGATAGTATAAGATCAAAGATTTATCAACAAGATGCAATTGGTAATTAAGATTCAATTTCAAAGCTATCTAACCTCAAGTTCACATGTTAGATTTATTAAAATATTACTTTTAAGTTTTTCTTTATATTAATTTTTATCCTTTTTTGAATGATAAGATCAAATGCTAATTAACTTAAATATTTTTTTTATAAATATTTTAATTTACGTAATCAAAAATATAATGATTTAAATCTTATATCAAGATAATTATTTAATATCACTATATATTTTATAATTTTTAAAATTAAAAATTGATATTGAGTATAATAAAGTTGTTCTAATTTCAAAAATTATCTATAAATTGCAGCATAAGTTAATAAAATAGTTTCTAAATTAACTTGATCTACAAACATTGAGTCAAGTAATTGAATTTGCTACAAAGTCAATAAATGTTTTTTAGATTTTGATCTAAAAATTAAACAAGTACATTATAATGTCTCTATAACTTGTTTTCAACACCAAGATCTTCTAAATATGTAAATATATAAATATAAATATATAAATATAAATATATAAATATATAAATATATAAATATATAAATATATAAATATATTTAAAAATAAATGATATGTAAATTGATGCAATACATTTCAATTTTTTTTATTGAATAAGAATTTTTTTGATGCCTTCAAGAAATATTTTATTTATATTATAGAGAATTTAAACACACTATTCAACATTGCCCTAAAAAGCTACACAACCACAAAATAAGTAGTATGGTTATTAAAGATGACAATATGTTAAAAAATAAAATTGACCAATTACAATAGAAATTGTTGTTGTATGGAATAATTTTTAATTTAGAAATATATTGAATACTTAATTATAGATAATTTATTTTTGATTTATTAGCCAAACTTCAATTAGTGATTTTTTATTAATGAAAAAGATACAAAAATATAAAAATATTAAAAATATTGTACTAGCAAGAATCTTTTATATTCAAGTATAATTATACATATGTTTTTCTTTGGCATCAAGAAATCCTTGAAAATTCTTTATTATAT